TCATGCAGATAAATCCACAAGGCAATTATTTATCCATTTATCACCACTATTCACACTGGCAGCTAGGGAATTTTCCACTGAGATGAAAAGAAAACACAACGATATACAGGCGCGTTGGAGCCCGGCGAGAGTGAGAGGGAGAACCAAAAACAGGCGTAGGAGAGAATTTTGCTCGTCCGAGGTGACTTGCAACAATTAGGGGTTTATTACATGAATTGTAATCAATAATATAGACCATGTCAGGCCTTGAGACAGAGAAAGTAGTAGTTTTACTATAAATCGAGCGTACTAACGAGGGTTTTTGGGGGTTTTGCTCCTGGAGAGCATTCAGATTGCGCGAGAGTGCGAACTCTTCCCTTATTCTAATATTACTGAAGAATGTGCGTTGACTAAACTCTGCCAGGGGAGCAGGTCGCAAAAATCTAGAAAACAATGTGGCGGCAGACCAATCACAGCAGCGAGAAAGGTCCACTGCCTTATAAGGTAATGAAGAAACCTGTAATTTTATTGGTTCAAAGGGTTGTTGTTGCCGGTTTTACAGGATAAATAGTCCAGCAATAGCATCTATTTTTAGAATATTATTTTTATAGTAATATTATTTACTATTGAGATATATCAAATTAGAAATAATAAAAATTAAACCTGTTGTGGGTTATTTCCGTAACAGCAGGTTAGAAAAAAAGCTGCCTCTGTCGGGTTCTTCTTCCAGGAACCAAAAATCTAATGTCTGTCAGAAGTTCGGGCGGGTTGATAATGTTCTGCAGAATTTTGTAGAAAAAAAATAAGCTGGGTATTTTTGAGTCGATTCTCAAGGTTGGGTATACCGCAGAGCTGTATAAACGAGTCTCATACTCAAGGTTCTGGTAAGGAAATCTCAGTTTGTAGAGCATGTACCTATTTTGCAAATTTATTTTGCACTCCTATTCTTTTAATGTGGCATACGTAACTTGAAGTCCAAATTTTACTGCAGTGCAGCAGTATTCAAGTGTGGATCGAATGAGATTATAATATAGACAGATAATGGACTTTGTATCAATATGTCTTTGGTGTTTGGTCTGATGAAACCTAAAAGTCTTAGAACTTTTTGTAACTATGGTGTCGATGTGTTTGTTAAAAAACAGGTCTTTTTCAAAGATGACTCTCTGGAGTTGTCGCCTGTTTTCAAATTGGCGTTATTGATGGTGGGTGTATGTGGGCAGTATAGGATTTTCTTGTGACAAATCAAATGTTTGCAGTTAGGCCCGTCGAGTTTGAGAAGATTTGAGTAGCAACAAGTGACCAACCTGTCTAAATCTATGGCTGGAGAAAGGTAGAGTGCCCGTCCACAACTGAGAAAAACTTCAAGTCGTCAGCACATAGTAAGCACAGGGATGATTGGAACTTGGGAGTATTGGATGACGTCATTAATGAAAAGAACAAACAGAATCGGTTCGATTTACGATCCCTGAGAGACCCCAGATGGAACTATGAACTCGTGGGATATTGCACCGCACACTTCAACTCTTTTCGTTAAGTACGATTCTATAAATTTTAAGAAACATGCACCAAGCCCATATCTGAGAGTTTTTTTTAGTAACAACGTATGGAACAAACTATCCAGTGGCGTAACTTCAACACCGCCCCCCCCCCGCAAGGTTTTTCCCGGGCCCATCTTTAATGTATATATTTTTTAAAATTTTTCTTTATACAAGGTGTCCGTTTTAACTAATCCAACTAATGCTATCTCCGAAACGGTAAGAGGGACGAGGTCGGTTTTAATTAGATGAAAGTGATAAATTTTAGTATTCATTGAAGGTAAATTCACAGGGTTGCTAAATCTTTGTACGTTTCCGAGATATAAGGGAAATGTGAAAAACATTTAAAACTTATTTCATGAATATTTCAAAATCCATCAACTTTAGAAAAAAGTGTTCAATGGAAAAGTTTCAAGATTCTTTCTTCTCTACAAAATGGCGTTAGTTATCTTCACACAGCTTCTAGTTGTGTCTAAATTTTTTACATTTTTTATCTTAGAGGTTTTATATCTTGGAAACAAATAAAAAAATTGGCAACTCTGTGAACTTACCCCCTATGGATATTAAAATCTGCCATTTTTATTTACCCGACCTCATATTTCTTGTTTCGGAGATAGCAATAGTGGTATCACTTGAAACGGACAGTTAATTTTACATCTGTGAGTATGTCTGAACATTTATCTCAGATTTCTTACATTGGTTAGACCAGACATACTTTTTTAAAGGTTGATATGTATTGTGAGGTTCATAGGTTAAAGTATTTTCTTTCAGTTTGGTACTACTCTTGTCACCAGTTCAGTACTTTCATCTGGTCTGTTGGTAGACAGCAAAATTCTACTGTTCGTTAGCAATGTAGTTACTAAAGCATGAATACACATCGTCTATTAGAATGGATTTCATAATTTTAGGAATGTGCGATAGTAGAGTGCTTCTTCAATTATATTCACATCAGTACTATATCCTGAATTGTGGATAGGGAAAAGTTTTGAGATTTTCCAACTTTTGGGAAAAATACCAGTATCGAAAGAAAGTTGGAAAATATGCTTCAGAGGTTCTATTAGAGATGTGCAACAGTCTTTAAGAAATGCTGGGAAGAGACCATCCGGTCCAAAATTTTTTGAGGCATCAAGATCCAGAATTTTTTTCTGTATTTCCTCGACTGTGAAAAGATGATCGGAGAGGTATGTTCCAAAACGGACTGAGTAGTCTTTGATCTCAACATCCGTGTGGTCAGAGTAACTAAACTCTAATTATAAGTTTTGATTTGTTCAAATGTTCAAAATGTTTTCCATCCCATCTGCTAACCCAGACATTTCTGGAGTTTGTGGTGGCAAACGAGTGAACGATTTTTCTTAAATTCGGCCATTTTTCAAATCAACAAAACGATATTTCCTTTCAAGACTATAGTTAAGAATCAACATAAAATATAAAACTTGAAAAATTTAACATCAATTATTTATAGGATTTCGTGATTTTTTCAGGATACGAATAAATCCTCTATAGATTTATGAATCAATTTTCGTTTCTGCTCATTAAACACGTGGAAAAAAATGTGTTCTTTCACGCTCATTGGAATAAATTATTATCTTAGACGGCGGTGCATAGAAAAAAATTAGCAAAGTTAATTCAGTTCGATCGCAAATTGTATAAAATCAGCATCATTGTAAGTAAGCAAAGTTTGTTTCTCTTTAGATAAAATGAATTTATTTTTGCACGAAATATGATGAAAAGTGATCAGTTGCGTGGTTGATAAACTTATAATTATTGGCTAATACCAATAACAATAACAATTATTTATGATATAGATTTGTAATATCAAGGGGATTGGATATTTTAAATACATTTTTGTCAGGAGTAAAATTGAAACAAAGTAAGTAAAAAAATAGTCACTTGGTATGCAAATTAATATTAATAGACTTGTTAAACTTGCAACATGATTAAATTTTTTGTTTAAGCCCATGAATAGTGAACGGCGGCGCTAATAAATGAGTTCGTAAACACACTTTAATAAAACCATGTCAGATTTTGATTTACCTACAAACCAAAAATCAATATTATGTTAGTAGTAGATATTAGCATACAGGGGCGTCCAAAACGATTTCCGGTGAGGGCAGAATTTTTTTTTTTTGGAATAGAATCTGTAACTTTTAGGGAATCTTATCCTATAGTGAAGGACTACAAACAATTTTTTTGTCATAGGCATATTTGCAAATTTTAATTAGGTAACGGCCCAATTAAGGACCGATTGAGAAGTGTTTTATCTCTGCGGGACCATCCGTGGACGCGTTTCGCTGTATCACAGCTCATCAGCACGGTTAGGTCCCGCAGAGAGAAAACACAACCCATTTTTGGTTCCTTCCCGGAACTGGGTTTGAAACAAGTTTGAAACAAAACTTGTTTCAAACATATTTGCAAATGTTACATTTGCCCTGCTCCTTCTCTTATGAATGCCCTTGTTAGAATAAATAGATGGGACGGCCAAGTATTTAATTTATTATAATGATTCTCACAAATCGTATGATCTTTTTAAACCAATTATCTAGATACCCACGGAAAATTACCATTTATTGTAATCGGAATGTAAGATAATTAAATAATATTAATAATTATGATATTAAAAATATACTTCTATTTTTTTAAGATTTGTTTGATGGGTTTGTTCGGGTAAATGTGTAAATTACACCTGACTCGATTTCGAACAAAGTTTCCAGTTTCCCATTGAAACTCTTCTCAATCTTTTTATTGACTAATACTTAGGTACTATGACTTCGACTTACAAACTACGCGCTTTATAAACGAAACCAGTTAATCTATAAATACCCAAAATTTACTATTTTCGCATATTTTTGCTATTCAATGCACACCCTAAAATCCAATTCTTGGATCAAAAAACACAGACACACACAATTATCTTCAAAAATTTTTCCTCTCATTCTACGTAGGTATGTGTGAAAATCAAGTTTTTCGCAAACAAATCTTTATCATTTTCACTTGCGAATTTTGTTCACCCCTTTGACCCTTTACTATTTATTAACCTTATTGAAGATAATTAAATACTGACTGAGAGTTTAGAAGGTGATATTGGACCAAAGGTTATATAGAGAGCAATAGAAATTATGAATTATGCAGGTAGGTATTTAGAGAAATTTTAGTGAATTTAAGCTTCAAAAATTCCTCAATGTAAATTCAATTTCACATGATTTAAATTTGTTTTTTTTTTCTTTCATGTCTCTAAACAATCTGATTACCATGCATCATGATTACTAAAAATCTATCATTTCCTCTTTGATTGCCATCAATTTACTGACAATTTATTTCTATGGGATCATGCAATCTTATTATTAATGCTAAAAATTTAATAACAATAACAAAATATCGGCCTGATCGTTCACGCATTCATCGTCCGAATACGTGTACCTACTCGTATCTAAGCATCGCATGATTACGTAGCAGGTCCAAGCAGCATGAAATTTGCATGCGCCAGAGCCCGTCAACCGCGAAACGAACTGATATAAAGTGACGGATTTGTTAATTTATCGAGATTAATAGTTTCGGAGCTTGAAAGCGCTTAGGTTATTTGGTTAGGTACCCGGCTTTCCGAATTTGGAAAGGGAACATCAATGGAATAGTGATTATTTTTGATTTTTACGTACGTGGACAGTTTGGACTACTAATTTAGAAAAAAAACAGGTAATGATAGATTTAAGAATTGATTTTTTTATTGATTACTTCAAGGGTTTTACGAGGTAAAATTTGTTTGGTTTGGGATTTTATATGGGGATCTCAAACTCAAACATTTTTCTTTTAACCTCAGTTATTCAAAATTTGTCATAGTTTTTTCAAAATTTATTCATTGAATTCTTTCTTCTAAAACCTGAAAAGTTCAATTATTGAAAAAACAAATTGACATGAAGTTATCATTTTCAATATCTTTCCACCGTTGCTCGAAAATTGGTAAAAATTCCTTTTCAAATTCTATACGATCCAATTTTCCTGATAAACTCGGGCATACATTATTTCTCCGTATGTAGGTATCATGAGGTAGGAGTTGAAAAAGTGTTTCGATTCAACATTTTTCAATTTTTGAGAGAGCACTTATTGTTATTTTTGATCCTATAAATTTTAAGTTAAGTGATTTTATCGGAACTGCAGTAATCCCTTAGGCTGACGAGGGCATAATTCAAGTACAGTATATTAAGCTGTGATATATTTTTGGAATCAGTGAATGGATTATTTTTTATTAAAAAATACCTCTTTTCTTCGAGACTTTAGGTAGTTTGCTGGTGAATAGAACTTTCAATTAAAATCTATAGGTAAAAACCACTCTTTGCTCTATGATTTTTTTAAATAATACAAATTAATGGTACTTTATAGGTTCCTCCAAAAGCTATTAGAATAGGTACTTTTTGGAGCCGCAACCTTCAATAAAATAATGCATTCGCCTAGTTTCTAACATTTCCAAGGGTTGTAGAATTAGGCAATCCCGGCCACGTTAACTCTATCATTGTTCTTAAGTTACGCTTTTAATTATTCAACATTTTGAAATTTCTTCGAGAAAAATTATGAAGGTGACTTTCAAAAAGTTGCATCATACGATTTTTTTTTGATAGGGAGGCTTTTAAAATATGAAATTTTTCTGGAGTAAAAAGTGCAAGATCTACCTACATTGTTCGTTGAAAAACATCAAAAAAGTAGCATCTTTACTTGGGGTTTGTGTAAGCGGTTTGAAATAGTGCAATAAATTCTTGTATGTGAATAAAAGATGTTTCAAATTTATACCTTGGTTTGGTTCTTTGATGCTTTCGGTGGATATTTGTGCTTTTGATATATACCTAGCTGCAGAGGCGGATTAAGACTATGGGATGTCTATTCTTGGAATCTTCAGTTCAAAATTGAAGTTCTCGCTGGTTTTTGAAAAAGTTTGATTTTGTATTTTCACAAAGCATTTTTCAAACGAAACTAGCGTTGGATTTGTTATTATTTCCATATGGTTTGTCTTGTCACATTGAATAACTATGGTCAGGCTTTTTTTAGGAATGACTAATAGTTGTCCATTCAGGAGTTGTCTCACTGTTGGTTTTTCATATTTCACTTTAGTGAAAGGACATTGTTGTGGTAGGTCAGTAATCAGGTCGTAGACACATGATTCTTCTTGCTTGAGCTCTTCTTGGTTACAAAGGTACACACTTTCGACTTTCGGGCATTCCCATAACGTATTGTAGTAAATGTCCGTAGTAAGTACTAGGTAAGGGGACTTATTCCTAATGGTAAGTTCTTGGATAGGAATTGGATAGATTTTATACAATATAAAGGGCTTGGGATCAATCATTGGTGTATGTATAACAAATATAATTAACTCATTTTGGATTTTTACTTGAGTTTTCATTGTCTCATAATACTTGATTTTATTATCAAAAGGTATTTGCTGACTTTTGGGTATATTTGTTAATATTTGATTTAATTCATTATGCTGTAAAATAGTATAATGCATTATTCCCAATTGTGCAAAATTTATTGCTAATTGCACATGATCAATAAGATTCCTTATTTTATTACTTTGAATATTGATATTGTTCAATATTAGATTAAAAGTTAACATTGAGTGGAAATTTTGGTTTTCCAAGGAAATATTTTGTAATTTTCCTGTGATAACCTTTTGGTTAGATTCAATAGTTAAAAATTGATCGTGAAATGTTTTTGTAACTTGTTTCAATACTTGAGCTTGTGTTTTTAGATCTTCATTGAGAATTTTTTGATTATCATTAAGCGTCTGGATATAAGAATCATATCTTGCGCCATCTCCAGCATCTAGGGTTCCGTAGAGCCATTTTTGTGCTGTGCCCATGAAATTTAATAGACCTCTTTTATTACGTTTTCGGTCTAGATAGGTTCTGATTACTTGTTCCATAATCTTAATTTGAGAATGACTGTTTTCAATATTTGTTTGAAACAGTGCAACAAATTGGTTTCACCATGTTGTTTTGTTAAGAGTGTCAGATAATTTCATTAAGGTAATTTCCAGTTTATGGATACTTTGTATAATTGTCGTGTTTATGTGATAATAGGCCGTGTTATGTTGAGTTGTTACGTAAGTAGTTCCTAAAGAAATTGGTAAAATAGGATTTTCTACCGTCATCAATGTATACGCTTGGGTGACTCCAACGAGAGTTAGGAATACTAATGGATTCATCTCGGAGTACCTGAAATAAATTATTGTCGTTTAACATTTTGTTTAGCAAAGCGATTCTGTGTTTTGCTATCATAACGCGGACTTATCTTGTCTCTATTAAATTGTTTTACAAAGATTGGATCTTGTAATTCTGGTTCAGGTTCACGATTTTTATTACGTGATTCTAAAGACTTTGTTTGTTTCGCTAATAATTTTTCTTGAATTTCTTTATTCAAATTTGCAAGGGATTCCGCCAAAGTTGTTATATAGTCAGTTGTTAGTTTATTTTCCGTTTGTTTAATCGGTATGGCATAATTCAAATCTCCTTTAATCACTTGAAAAGGGATGTGATTCATTGTACTATGAGTACTGTTGTTATAATTCAATATAGCGATTGTCATTAGATCAATAATACTCTTATTTGGGTTTTGGAGTTTTAAACTCGTTATACTTTCACGTAGTGTCGAATGGAATCGTTCGATTGGACTATTCGAGTTCGGGTTTCTTGGAGTTGTGTAATGGAACTCAATTTTGTATAATGTACAAAGATCTGTCATTATAGCATTTTTGAACTCTGCTCCATTATCTGATGTGATTTTTTGAGGTATTCCATGATCACTAAAATATTTCAATAACTGTGATGATATCTCAACAGCTGTTTTTGTATTTACAGGAGAGGCTTGACCAAATTTTGAAAAGCTATCAATAATGGTCAGAAATTTCTGGTTATTGATTATATACGTGTCAATATAAATATGTTCAAAGGGTTTCATACCAATGGGTGTTGGTTTGAATATGATTTTGTATGGTTCACGTTCATACTTGGTTTTATTGCATATTTCGCATAATTTGACATAATTCTGTACGTCTTTCTCGATATTGGGCCAATAGAATCTTTTCTTTAAGGCTGCAATATTTTCAGTGATTCCTTTATGAGAGGTTTTAGTCTCATGATATTGCTGAATTTTCTCTTGTTGAAGATCAACTTCTGTGATGTCTTCTAATAAAGAGTTCGAGATGTACAAAGTAAATGAATTCGAATTAAACGATTCTTGTAATGCTCGTATCACAATAGGTTCTAAAGATTTATTTAGGAAATGAAGGCAATAAATACCAGGTGGCATGTATTCCTTTACTAAATTAGTAATTTGTGATGTTGTTGGATTATTTGGTAAGAAGAATATTATTCTCTTTTTATTACCAAATAGTTTGATTATCTCTTTTCTAATTGTGTTATTGTTGGAATATCGAAATACAATTTGATTTCCAAATACATTTACATGTTTCTTAGTATATGGAGCTCCTAATATTGGATTTTCCATAGATGTATGTATTGTTTGGTCATTTTCAGACAAGGCTGAAATTGTTGAAGAACGATTAGTTGGTGTTATTTGTCTATTACTTTTTTGAGTTTTCGAAGATTCTCCGATTTCTATGGGAATTTCTTTTTTCTCTTTTCTTGGAGGTATTATTAGTTGTGATAATATCTTTATTTTGGGTTTTACTTTCTTAGGTTCCTCTTCAGGTTCCTTTTCTGATGCTGTTTTTGTTGATTGAGATGATTCAGACATTGTTATCTCTTTTTCTTTAGCTATCTCGCTTTGTTTAGGAAGATATACTTTAGAATCTGTAAAGTATTTTGCTATGATTTCATCATTACATAATGGTGTATCTTTCAGCATTAATCCTAATTTTTTATGAAATTCTTCATCTGAAGATGTTAATCTGGCATCTGGATCTGATTTTTGAATGGCATGAAGTTGTATTGCAGGAATTCTTGATAGTGCGTCTGCATTCATGTTTAATGTTCCTTTTTTGTATTTGATTTCATAATCAAATTCAGATAGTTTTAGTCGCCATCTGACTAGTTTAGAACTTGGTTCTTTAACATTAAATAGCCATTGTAGAGGTTTGTGATCTGACAAGATTGTGAATTTTCTACCAAAAAGATAAGGTCGAAAATATTTTGTTGCCCATACGATTGCTAAAAGTTCTTTTTCAATCGTCGAATAATTACATTCAGCTGGGTTTAAAGTTCTTGATGCGTATGCAATGGGAAGATCAGCTCCGACAGGACCTTGAGATAAAACGGCTCCAATTGCATAGTTTGATGCATCGGTTGTCAATAAGAAAGTTTTCTTAAAGTCAGGATGTTGTAATATTGGGTCATTTATTAATACATTTTTACAAGTTTCAAAGCTATTTAGAAATTCTGAAATGTGTATTATTTTTTTGTCTTTTTTCAAACAAGATGTCATTGGTTTGGTCAATTTGGCAAAATTCTTTATGAATTTTCGGTAATAACCTACTAATCCTAAGAATGATTTTATTTCCTTCACCATCTTTGGTATTGGGAATTTTTTTATTGCCATTATCTTTTTTGGATTTGGTTTTATTCCATTCGGTGTAATTACATGTACTAAGAATTCGACTGTCTTGTGTAGGAATTCTGATTTGTCTAATTGTATTTTTAAATTAAACTTCTCGAGTCTCTCAAATACTTTGTTTAAATTTTTCACGT